TTTTTGTTACATATAATCTTAAGAGTTTAAATTCACACTTTATATATGTGTATATATAAAAATACAATAATGTAATTGCATTTTACTCTTCTATTGCCGCATAATAATAGTATCTACTTTGTGGAATTCACGCCTTTTCGTATAGCATAGGGACTATCACTCAGGCACTGTTCATGGTTGATAGATTCACGGGATATTGTCATCATGCGACAAACCGCAGAACCGACTGACAGCAGTCATTGCAAAAGGATCTGCACTCGCACTGGGGATGTGTCGCCTGGTCGAATAAGCCAGAGATTGAAATGCAGGAGACGACCCCGATGGGTTGACCGAGCGATGGGGGAGGGGGGGGGGGTCTCACGCTCATGACTGACTTGTGGGTGGCTCGCCATTCCAACCCCCGCCCCCCACCCCCATCGTTGTGGTCAGAGAGGCAAAGCTGGTGGAGTCGTCGTGGGTCCTGAGTGACCTGTTGAGATGGCCCTGGGGAGTCCCCACGTGAAGTGTGTTCACACTGACGAGCTGAGAGCCCAGCTCTCCTGGGAGGCAACTCTCCACTCAATAACGGAATTTGTGTGGCGTGCCTGGCAGCCCGGTCGGCCTGGATTCGCTCTCAGTCTGCTGGAGTCTTTGGGGCAAACGAGAGTGAAATAGAGTGAGCTGACATTTTCCTTGAAGGGAAGTAACTATTCATAGCAACCCCCCCCCCAAATGGTGTTTATTAATATATTTTTTGGCCTTCAATGTACATTTTATTGACATTTTGAGCCCGTACATTTTGGGCCTTTGGGCTTGTGCTCAGCGCAGGTGTGATATCGGGTTTGCGTGTCAGTGATTGACATCTGAGTAACACAAATTAAGATATTTTGGAATATTAAATATGTTTTTCTCCAGAGAGATGGGGATATCTAGTATGAACAACTGGCCTTTAGCCTATGAAGATACTGTATCGTATCAAATATGAAGGTGTTGCATTCGTGAACTTACACGTGAAATAACAGGTCAAATATTTTTATTTCTATAACTGAGAGGAAGCTTACATTTGTAAATATATTTCCAACCTGTTTGGACAGTCAGGGAATTCGCGTCTGTGGCGTCTTCATTCGGACTGTACCGACTGATTGGTACCCAGATCTCGACACAGGCATTTTGTTGAACTTCTATTAAACAATCAACCGCACAATTTTGATAGACCAAGGGTGACTAAATGTCCCGGTTTTGTCTGCGGAAAAAGTGGCATTTTAAAAGTAAATAAATTGCAGATTAAAGAGGCAGCAGCAGAGAAAAAGTTACCCCCCCCCCCGTATCGAGTGAAGAGTTTTACCGCTGAGATGTGTGACAGAAGGCCTCGATTGCTCAAGCAGAGAGAGCACACAAAGAGGAGCAGAGCGAGAGAAAGTGGAGGGTCGGGGGGGGGGGTGAGTTCGGCAGTGACGATTCCATGGAAGATTTTGAACGTGGCGAGGGCAGCCTTGTACTCTGGTTGATATGTGGCTGAATTGAGAGCCGGTGGAGCGATTCGAGTAGCGATGCCACGTGGTCATCGGTTACACGATTCGCACGGTGTGCACAGTACGGATAACACGTGTCACCTTGTGGAATTTGTAACCGTGTGCGGCCCTGCCATTTATGATTACTGCATTCGTCTCGCTCCCTGCAAAGATGTGTGCGACAAGAGCTCGGGGTGATTCAGAGTCACCGTAGTTAAAAGCCATTGAGTGGATGTGAAATGAGATCTGTTAAAGGGATTTAACCTGTGACCTTTATTATGAGTGTGTGTGTGACAAAGTCATTCGTTCAACTGTATTGTAAATAAAACGCCGTTACATTGTGATTGTATCAGCAATCACTAAATCATATTGACCAGCCCTAGCAAAGTATGGTAAAAAACAATCCTCATGACCAACACACCTGAACCACAGCTCCCAGACCCCAGTTCAGCGCTGCTTTCACCGGCCATGGCATCGTCTAGCACGGTGAAGATGCAGGGAGTGATAATTGTTTTTTTACCCTTTTATCTGGCAATAAAACTGACACTTTTTTTTTACAAGGAGTCATGTTTGCATAGACCACAATACCTGCAGTTATAATGCGAACAAAAAACACAACTCTGATAATGTATGCACTGTCCTTGAAGTTGATTGGTCCACACCCGAGACAGCTTTCCTTAGAGCCTAGTCTCACATGGTGTTGGACCAGATGACGCCAAAAAGCGCACAACTCAAAGACAACGCCACCATCAAGAGTATGAGAGCTCGGGGTAAGCATTTACACCATTGGTACAAAAACAATTATCATATTTTTACTGGCAAATGAGGTTCCAATGGTGTAAATGCTTGCCCCGAAGCTCTCATACTCTGATGGTGCATTGTCTTTGAGTTGTGTGCCTTTTGGCGTCATCTGGTCCAACACCAGGTGAGACTAGGCTCTAAGGAAAGCTGGCTCGGGTGTGGACCAATCAACTTCAAGGACAGTGCATACATTATCAGAGTTATGTTTTTTGTTTGCATTATGACTGCAGGTATTGTGGTCTATGCAAACATGACTCCTTGTAAAAAAGGCGTCAGTTTTGTTGCCAGATAAAAGGGTAAAAAAACAATTCTCATATTTTTACTGGCAAATGAGGTTACAATGGTGCTCAGAATGAACGCGGGGGGGGGGGGGTACTCTTCTGGACTTGACCATTGCTCCATACGATACACAAACTTGGTCTGACTACTCACGCCTCTTCAAAACCGGAGACAGAAACTGAGAGAAAGACATATATTGGGAAAAAGTCGGAGATCAGGAGAAAAAGGAGACAACTTTAAACATTTAAAGAGTGGAAACTCCCTTTACCCATTGAGGGAGCACTGCCGGTAATTGGAGAAAAGGAGAAAAGGAAAGTGAATTTGGCTTGGGAAGGTCACGTTGCAAGAAGGGATGATGGCCTGGTCTTTGAGTCAAAGAGTGGAGCGCCAGTCCAAATGAGAGGACATTTCACGGCATTCGATGGAGCAATTATAACCGACTCATGTGCACAAGTGAGACGGCTTGTCGCACCGCGCAAACAAGAAAAAACCACGCGGCACGGTGGCGGACAAGGGGGAGGCCTCTTCGTGCGTGGCTGGCGATGACGTGATGACAGTGACAATGGGCGAGTTTGATAATAAAAAAAACAATTGTTCATCTAGAACTATTCTGTCAGACACTTTTTCGAGTTTTGGGCTTGCGCGAGTGGCGGCTCGGTTGATTCAAACGTGGACATTGATGCCAGACCCCCAGGATATGCAGCTGCATAACGCACTGCAGTTTCTCGACTGATGCTTTCTATTTTTAGCCCAAAATCAGCTGCCTGCTGCTGCCCTGGTCTGGTTCCTCCGGGTAGAGACGACCGGGCTGATGCCACTCCATCCTATTTAAACCCCAGTCGCTTGCACCACCAGTTCTTACCTCCAACCCTATCACACGGGAAGGTGGTGGGGAGGGGAATGCCGCTGGCTTAATAATCCTTTACAGCAGTTGAAATTGTTTATTGTCATTTGACCCCGCACATCCGATTAGTACGGTTGGCTACGTCCGGTGCGAAAGAAGTTCAACATACACGCACACATACACGTGACTCAAGTCTTCATCTCTTGCGCTTTGGAATCTTGAATGGCCTCAAGAGATCACAGAACAGAAGCGGCTCCGCGTCAGAGGTTGCTTGGACAATCCTCGCCACATTGGCCAAGTGACGAGGAAATGTGAAAGTGTTGACTGCTTATGTGCAACATTACCACGATGCAGTTGCGCTCTATTAAAGCAGATCAATTAATTAAATTAAATTTACCCTTGCAGCCTGAAGCATTGGTAAATATATTCCGTCTCTCAGGACTGGCTGAGAGTAACATCAAGGACCCCACGGAGGCCCCGGGGGGGTTTTCAAATCGCTGCGGCCCCTGTGGCCTCGCCTTGTGGCTCCGCTCGTCGGTGAACTTGAAAGGAGAGTGGCGGTGGCCGAATGGCTGCAGCCGTCGTCTTCGTGCTCCTGACGGTTTCCATGGAGACCCATCCCAGCTGGTGATGTAAAGAGGGGGGCGGGAACCGGGAGGGGGGGGCTCCGATAGACACCTGATGCTTCGCTAGACGTGGGACTCGGGGCGGCGCTAATTTCTGTTGTGGCAACAGAATGATTCGGTTTCTTGGCTCTTTCGGTAAAGTCACGTAGAAGGGGAATAATAAAATAATAAAAATAAAACACAATAAAATAATAATATAATATAATTCTCATTATTTTAATTTTATTTTATTATTTCCCTTCTACGTGACTTTACCGAAAGAACCAAGAAGATGAATCCCTGCAGTCACGAAAGCTTTAAATCGAAAATTATTCGGCTCTTTCATCACTGCCTCTCCTATTTTATCGTAATGCGCCAGCTTTTCGTCCGTCCATTCGTCCGTAACCAGGGGGTCACGATAACTCCCGTAAGGATGATCCAAAAGGCGTGAATAGGGCAGCCAAAAACTTGGGAGACAATAATCAGAGAAAGAAAAGAGGACTTTGAAAATACGGTGAGGCGGTTTTCCCTGGCAGCTACTCGTCGGGCATTCGTACCGCTAATTATATACTTCCAAAGACACACGCATATCTTCATACACTGTTTGAACATTCAAATTAAGCTCACTCTGAGTACTTTTACAAATATTGTAACAACTACACGTCGCGATACGCTTGTTGAGGCTTTAATGTCACGGTTTGACCATTCATTCTTTTGCTACCTATTTTATTGCAAGTTTGCCTTACATTTAACGCACTGAATCACATATGCAGAAGCACGCGCACGTGTCCTCTTGGATGGACATCTTGACTCGGCGCAAGACGTCAACACAATGCACCACCCTGAACTGCACAAGTGAAACATTTTTGCTTGTGTTCAATCAGCAACGACAGTAAAGAGACACTGCAGCGATGGGTTAAACACACGAGGCAAAACATGACCTTCGGACGTTCTTTAGTCTGAAATGGGCGCTCGCCATACCTTCCTTTGCCCCGGTGATGATCTTTAGGCACTGTCTCATGATTACTCCGATCTGCTTCTTGCACTTGGTTGGACAGCTCATCGTTGCAAGGACGCAGCTGGGCGCGCGGTGAGTGACCGGCAAATGACCTCCTGGATCCAGCCGCAGTTGTGCTCGAATTTCAGATGCTTTTTTTTCTTTTACAGATGAGTGATGCCCTCTGATTTAAATGCTAAAACATCAAGCCCTGGGCCATCGAGATGGAGTGAAGTGAACTCTCTGACAGATTATTTCTTCTGCGTATTGGCTGCGGCGCTTTGAGTCATCAGACGGCGTTACTCTGGCATTTTCTGAGATTCCCAATTCGGATTTTTTTTTAAATCTCACACTCCCCCTCTGACCTCTTCGCCACTGCTTTCCCCTCTGCGCACGATTTTCACAGTCCCAGGGACTTTGCACCGGCAGCAAAAAAAAAGTTTCCAATTTCGAGTTTCGAAATTACAATATATATTCGCTCGGCGATAAGAAGCTTAGACGGACGAGTCGTGAATGTGCCCGCTAGAACAAGACACGAGCACGCACCGGCTTGGACAAGCCGGCCCTGAAGATGCAGACGCACGCACACACACACAGTACTCACACGCCCAGGCTACGCGCGTTGACAAAACGGTGCCATCGCTCGGAGTGCCAGTGTCACACGAGCTCATCCAGTACCACGTGTGGGTAAGTACCTCCTTCTCCCGGTAAATCCCCCCACCACCACCACCACCCACCACCCACGTCGCTCCTCCAATCTCCCTCGTCTTTCTCTCTCTCTCTCCCCCTCTCCACCTTCCCGCCCACACAGCCACCCGCGCTGCGGAGTCTGGACTCTGTAGCATCTCAGCCTGGCCCGTGAATATTAATGCGCACGTGCCAAAGATGATGCCCTACCCACCCCCCACCCCCCGGTTAACGGGACCGCGTGACATCGTCTTACGCTCTCGACTCTTGTCCTCCCATTCACTCTTTACCCAATTAGACTCATCGTTGTTACTGGACGACATACTTGCTGTCGATTAGACTGGCAATTTAATGTATTTGTAAAATATGATAATTTTTAATAATCCTGGGACGCAGAAGTCGTGTGTTTTTTTAATTGTAATTATAAACGTTTAATTAAAAACGGTCCCCCTTAGCTGCTCGAGACTATCGCCGAGTTTTTGTAAATATCCACTTTGGAATTCCTCCAAGGCAGCAGCCATTCTGGAGGTGATTGTCTTTTATTTAAGTAATTTGCCCGCTTTGAAATTCTCCACGTGTCGCGTGGCACACAGCCGGATACTCGCAAACAAAAGGAAACGAAGCGAAATTCTCCCGACGATTTTAACATTTTCGTTGCATATGACCACCGTTGTGGTTCCAACAGATTACGTAACATTGTGATTTTTCGCCATTGCTTTGGTGAGCATGTACCGGTATGCTTAATAACGCGTGGTTTTCTCAGCCACGCAATCGATCGGATGAGGAATGTCTCAAGGATATGTAGCCTAATGAATAATGTGGCATAACCCCAACAAATCAACTATGAATTACCAGTACTGTACATGGTATACACCGTCATCGACATTCATGATCAGTCCACTGCTGGATGAAGGCCTCCCCGTGTAGCCCCCATCTCTCACGGACCTGCGATGCCAACAGCTATCTCGCTCCTGCACACGAGCTGACCTCATCGCACCCCCTCCTCCCCCCTCCTTCCCCCTCATCCTCCCCTTTCCTCCTCCCTCCTACTCCTCCCTCCTCCTCCCCCACCTACCCCCTCCTCCTCCTCCCTCCTCCTCCCTTCTCCCACTCCTCCTCCCTCCTCCTCCCCCTCCTCCCTCCCTCCTACACCCTCCTTCCCCCTCCCTCCCTCCTGCTTCCCCCTCCTCCTCCCCTCTCCTCCCCCTCCTCCCTCCTCCTCCCTCCTCCCCTCTCCTCCTCCCTCCTTCTCCTCCTCCCTCCTCCCCCCTCTTCCCTCCTCCCCTCTCCTCCTCCCCCCTTCTCCCCCTCCTCCCCCTCCTCCTCCCCTTCCTCCCTCCCTCCTCCTCCCTCCTCCCCCCTCCTCCCCCCTCCTCTTCCCCCCTCCTCCCTCCTCCTCCTCCCTCCTCCCCTCTCCTCCTCCCTCCTTCTCCCCCCTCTTCCCTCCTCCCCTCTCCTCCTCCCTCCTTCTCCCCTTCCTCCCCCCTCCTCTTCCCCCCTCCTCCCTCCTCCTCCTCCCCTCTCCTCCTCCCTCCTTCTCCCCCCTCTTCCCTCCTCCCCTCTACTCCTCCCCCCTTCTCCCCCTCCTCCCCCCTCCTCCTCCCCCTCCTCCCTCCCTCCTCCTCCTCCTCCCTCCTCCCCCCTCCTCCCCCCTCCTCTTCCCCCCTCCTACCCCCTCCTCCTCCGTCTCTTGGGTGGTCGTCTTCCCAGGGCACGCCCCCCCCCACTTTTGTCTGCACTTCTGTCACCAGTCTCGTCTGCAGCCCATCGTCTACTGGAGTGATGTGTCCTGCAAAAGTTGAATAACTTGTCAATGTTGTCTTGAATTTTCAGTTTTTCTGTAAGCCATATGATTGGCTCTCCATCTCCTCTGTGCAATTTATGGCATGCATATGTAAAAATGTTTTAATGTCAATGTAAGTTTTTGTTCTCCTTTCTTTGTCAGTGTATTTCTGATCAATACGTCTTAACAGGCAACATGCACTGATTGAAACGTGTTCTCCTTAAGGCACTTTGATGTGTTGCTTTTCATTATACCAATTACATTTTCAAAAAGTTACGTAAATTTTCCTTAGGTGTGATGCTGGCCTTCGTAGTAGCTGGCATTTGCCTGTAACCTGCTTCTAGTGCTAACGCTGTTTACATACAAATGTGTAGCTAAGAGGTGCTGCAGCGACACTTTCTCATTTCTATTCTGTGCTCATTTTGTATCGCTGGCTGGCTGGATGGTGCAGCAGCTGTCGAAAGTGTTGCGAGCTCAAATTCTCATCCCCGTTGTTCCTTCCGGGGGTGGCCAATAAAATAAGTATCGCTTTGTTGGGGGAAGTCGGCTGCGGTTGTAGTTGTGGAAAGATTCACCATTAGGGAATGTGGAATGTCCACCGCTGGCTCAGGGCTGTGAGAGAACGTGGGCGCTGACCACACGCTCAGTTGAGCAGCAAAGCACTTTGACTTTTAATTTGAAAAATGTCTCCGCTGCTCTGATAGGAATTATCAATTAGAGGGGCAAGCGGTTACGCTAACCCTCGTCATGCAGCGAGGTGGAAGGGGATTTAATAAGGCGATTTAGCCCCCCATATTCAAAAATTAAGGGGCATCCATTTCCCCTTTCTCTCTGTGCGCCTATGTCCATGTAAACTCCGACTGCTTTGGCTGTGGTGATATCCTCACTGTCGCGTGATAGCAACGGGTGCTTAATGAGTTGCATGTATGTATGGATGTTGAACTTATTTTGCAACCGCATGCAGCCATCCGTGTTCCTCGGAGGTGTCTGTAACCTGAGGCTACTTGCTACGAGGATGACTGTGGGAGGTCACGGAGACCCAACTGCGAGCTTCTCGTAGCAACAGTAGTGTAGGAACAGGTGAATGTATTTTGTGCACGTGTGCACTACATGCAAGATGTATGAGTGGTAACAACAACATTTTTGGAATCTCTTTAGCTACTGGAAACTGCACGATGCCTCCTGAATTGCATCTGTAATTAGATATTGGTTTACGTAAATGATCGTCGTAAATGTTATGATTGTATTACTTATTTAGTCCTCAGTGTTTGATCGTATCATCTGTTGTTCTTTGTTCTGCTGTAACAATAACTGTACCTTTAAAATCACGACATGTATTTTAGCTGTATGATTTTACATTCTCATCAACAGCTGACCAGTTATACTGAGGTCAGACGTCACATAAAATAAAACATCTCTCCACAAAAAAAGGTTGCATTCTGGTTGATCTCAGTAACAGTACGGAGTGTTCAGACCAGAGGGTGTTTTGCAATCACAGGATAAAACGAGATGAATGGCCGCAGAGTGCAGTATTGAGATTTTCTTAAAGATTATCCCACTCCACGATCTCACGCTTTTATAAATTATCTGTCGGCTGGCACATTTTCGGGAGAATGAATGAATTCAAACCTTTGTTGTTATTCTAAAGTACAATGCATTGTTCTATTATTCATCATGTCACCCTTTATGTCTCCGTCGTTACTGTCCCTCGCAAGTTGCGATCCTCCGCAATCGAGCTGTGGGTTGCTACTAAATAATTAATGAAAGTGGATTATCTTCTTGGTTCTTTCGGTAAAGTCACGTAGAAGGGAAATAATAAAAATAAAATAATAACAATAAAACATAATAAAAGTCTCTTAAAAATAAAAATAAAACATAATAAAAGTATTTTATTATGTTTTATTTTTATTATTTTATTATTTCCCTTCTACGTGACTTTACCGAAAGAACCAAGAAGATGAATCCCTGCAGTCACGAAAACTTTCAATCGAAATTTAAAGTGGATTATTTCCCTTGATAAATCATCCTATAGCACAGTGAGATTGTTGTGTGCTTTCGCAATCAACTTGGACAATGGGCACAATATATGCATTCATTACAGGACAATGTATCGATGCAGAGCTGAGAGGGTGCCTGCTCACGCTACTGATGGCGGAAGGGCCTCCGCTAGAAAAAGCTCTGGAGAGCCTGTCTAGAATGTATTTGGCCTACTCTTCCAGACTGGCTAGACGTCTTGGAGAAGGTGAGAGCCATCTACACTTTACCCCACCGCACGCGACCTGCAGACAGACTAACTGCGGGCTATTATCGTGTACTTTCCATTAACGAAAAGTATAGACTTAATTCGGAATAAGTTAGCCATTAGCAATAAATGTGCGCCGGTGTAGAGTTACATTTTCCGTGGGGCAGAGGAATGAACACACCAACTCTGAGTTGCTTAGAAAAATGCGCCCATGTATTTTTCCAGATAACGTGAGTCTCATGATGACTCAAGTCAAAGTTAGCCTGAATTAATGAATTTCGTAGAACCAATTTTCATGCAACATGATTAACCATTCTCTAGATTAAAGTTCCATTGCATTTCTTTTTTTTGATCGATCAAACATGACGCTTGACAAACACTCAATAGCGCTGTTATCTTTTCTCGTCAATAATATGTATACGAAAACATGTATAATCTACGTAACTTGTAATAAAAGTAGGTAACTAACCTCGTTTGCATTCATTGGGAAGCGGCATATCAATGGTTAACGTTTGTAATGTATAATTTAGTACACTTAAGGCATATATTCATATTAAACACTGTGTAGAGGGTCATGAAATTATAATAGATGTGTTTCTTCACATTAACCAATGAGAGCTAAGGAAATGTTCTGGTATATATGTATCATACCTAAAAAAAATTACAGTACTGCATTTGCTAAATGTATTTTCGTCGCATTTGGATATTTCACAACCTACAAGTGTTTGCTTCGGCGCATTTACATGCACACTGTACTGCTGAACTTCTGAAACATCTCATGGCACCGACTGGCAAAGTGAAAACCCTATTCCCTAAACCATGTGAGTGACCCAAATTGTAAAACATTCAACTGAATTTTAAACAGGTGAATCCTCTGTGGCCTCTTGTGGGCCATTGGTAATTTATCACAACCA